TCAGGTACGGAGTGATGCTGGGCCTGAACTCTTTGAAGAAACTGATTAGACGTTTGAAGGCTGAAAGGAAATGCCTGCTTCTACCACTGAAATCTCCGACTCAAACTTTTATTATTGTCCTCTAGGGAAAGCTTGAAAGGGGTGGCATGGTGGCGCAGCGGTTAGGATTTCTTCCTTACTGCACTGGGCCCTGGGTTTATTTCCGGACTTGGGGTGCTGTCTGTGTGGAGTTTGTACATTCTCCCCAAGTTCTCTTGAGTTTCCTCCCACAGTCCATAGGCATACTGGTAGGTTAATTGGCTGTGTGCCATGTGATGGACTGGTGTCCTGTCCAGGGACTCTGCCTTGCTTCTGTTGCCTGCTTGGATAGGTTGCGTCACCTGTGACCCTGAATTGGAAGAAGTGGTTAGAAAATGGATCGGTGAATGGATGGAAAGTTTGAAGGGATCTGCACTTGTGCAAACAGCATTTTTAAGAGGCTAGATTTTCTTCAGTCACATGTAGAATAGTAATTATAATAATAATTAATTGCTTACACTTATATAGCACTTTTCTGGACACTCCACTCAAAGTGCTTTACAGGTAATGGGGACTCTCCTCTACCACCACCAATGTGCAGCCCCACCTGTATGATGCGACGACAGCCATAGTGCGCCAGAACGCTCACCACACATCAGCTATCAGTGGAGAGGAGAGCAGAGTAATGAAGCCAATTCATAGATGGGGATTATTAGGAGGCCATGATTGATAAGGGCCAATGGGAAATTTGGCCAGGACGCTAGGGTAACACTCCTACTCTTTTCGAGAAACTCCCTGGGAATTTTAATGACCACACAGAGTCAGGACCTTGGTTTTACGTCTGTTCCGAAGGACAGCACCTTTTTTAAGGCATAGTGTCCCAGTCACCTGAGCGCCCCCTGCTGGCCCCACTTACACCTCTTCCAGCTGCAACCTTAGTTTTTCCCAGGAGCTCTCCCCTCCAGGTACTGACCAGGCCCACATCTACGGAGCTTCAGTGGGCTGCCAGTTGTGAGCTACAGGGTGATATGGCTGCTGGCATGAAGAAGAGCTGGCAGCTGGGCCCAACAGGTGGTCATGGGCTCAACACCAATGAGAGTCTTGTTCCTTCTGTAGGGCAGAGGTACGGCAAAGCACCCCTGCCATCTGGGGAGATTCAGATGATAGCAAGGTCTTCCTGAATCACTGTGCATCTACATGGGTGCCAGTTCCTGTTGTTGGTGTTGTTTTGAGCCATTCTGTTTTATCCTCAGCACTTCACAGTTCCACGCAGATTGCTTCTGTTATTTCTTTGCTAAAGGCCCAAGGAGGATTAGCTAATTATTGGCTGTTACAATTAGCCTTTAACTATCTTTATTAAGGTAGTATTCTCAAACCAATTGGGACTTCTCAAGTCAGTAACCTCCTCCCTTTCTGAAGATGACACTCTTTTGTAATGATCATTACAAGGTCATCCAGCAGTTTGTCTCCCCAGCTTTTGTTTGGAAGAAATAAGAGCCTGGACACTGTATGATTTTCAGTTTAATTCAGACGAAGAGAAGAACCTTAGCTCTGCTCTGAACTTCATTCAGTGTTATCTGATAACTTTCTACTCCTTTTTAGAAGCTGTACTTTAGAAATCTGTGATTTGCTTGAGCCTGAGTTTACTTTAGTATATTACTTAATAGACAGCTGGACAACTAAACTGTATTTTGTCAACTACAGGTAATTCAAATTTCAGCTGTACTTGCTGTTATGCCAGATTAATGCAATATTGTTCCAAGGGCATTTCTGGACTGCTGTTTGGAAAGTGGGTGGCAGGCTGTTAGCTATTTGAGTGCCCAGATGTGAAACTCCTTCATCTACTGAATCGGAATAGGAGTCTGCTTCTGCTTTTAGCCCTTTAAACTGGACCAAAGTGTCTGGTTTGCAGGAAGCCTCTTAGTCTGTGCGTAGGAATAACAAAGAGGTGCTCTTGTCCAGGAAGAGCAGTAAAATCAAAGAGAACTTGTGCATCCATCAAAGAGAACTTCTGCACGTCTTGTTTATTGCCTCTCTCTATAGAGTATTTTGAGGGCTTTCATTTTCCTGTCCCCATGCATGCGTGATCTAATCTGTGGCACTGAAGCAGTATTTGGGCACTAAGTATTGCTTTGAGCGCCTAAGTCTTTTTGCATGTGGAATGGCATGACCAGGACTTTTGTGTTTCCCTGATTACATTCCTCTGTTGTTTGCATAGTGACAGACTGTGTGTGCAGAGGTGTTGTCTCTGCTCCAGCTCCTGTGCAGTAGAACAGCTCTCACAGTCCTGGCTGTGTACATCTCAGTCTAGGGCTGTGCTCTGATAAAATAGAGATGCGAATGCAGTTGGTTTTCTGTTCAAGAAGAATTCTTTTGTGTGATGAAGTGTGCAGAGTAATGTTAGCACACTTAGAGTTACAGAGTAACTTAGCTGTGTGTACTTCCTAGTGAGAGAAATCCCTGTGTTCAGCAGAATAAGCTTTGTTCTTCGTCAATCAAGGCCTGCTGTGGATAGCGTTGAGCTAGAGCCTATTTAATTATTGTGCTGTGAAATAATTGTAAGGCTGGGTTTTGCTCCAGACAGATTTTGTGGAGTCAGAGAGGCTAATCTTGTGCATCTGATCAGGCTAATCTCCCCAGTGTGGCATGTTGTAGGGCTGATCGCAGTCGGTTCTCTACTCAGCAATCCAATTATACCAAGAGAAGACGGCAGAATGCCCCAACCCTTTTTCTGGTTGAGGGGGAGGCGTGTTGCCATGTGATCAACAGACTGTGGTGCAGCATGTTAATCCAGCACGTTATGGTTTGGGTGTCTCCTGTGGTGTCGGACAAGTGCTGTCTGAGCAAGAGGGTCTCGAAATGAGGCCAAGTTGTTAATCCAGCAACATCTACAAAACTACATTTCAGCAAATGTATGTTAAATATAATGCTCCACCTATTGATGACTAACCCTCATAGCCCATGCAGCAACCCATCCTGATCGTCTGATCGGCGTGTGCGCCACGTGCTGCAGACAGGAGGGCCTGTCCACTGTTGGTTGAGTACAAACACAGGGTCTGAAAGAGCCAGAGCCACTGCAGCCCCCTGTCTTAATGATCAGAGTTTTAATACTCAGACGCCCACGGAAGGGCTTTGGGGGGGGGGTGAGGGGTGGGAAGCAGGAGAGCCCAGGTGTTGGAGTGGGAATTACATTTTACAGTTGCTGCAGGCCACTTAAAGAAAAAGGAATATCATGGCTTACCTGTCAGTTTCCACCTATTGTGGAAAACTGTGGAAACACGCAGTGATGATATTTAAAAATGCCTCTTGAGGATTAAATAACAAGCCAAGTTGTCATACTGTAGATGGATATCAGTAATGCTGCTAAATGTCACTGCTTCTCTGACCTGCACTGCCTGAGCCTGCTGCACTAGAGAATGTCATGGTGAATACGCAGTGAACAGCACGGTGTGAAAGCCGACTGCAGAGCAGATGCTAGTAATGATATATGCTTTACTCGCTGGCAGTGGGGTTCTGCTAAGGAGAGTGTGCTGACAAAGGGAGTCTGAACTGTGAGACTCTCCAAACAGGTTGCATTTTCAGCGGTGCTCCTCAGTGCAGTGCTACAACTTGGACTAGGAGGCTGGCTTTCTGCAGGCTCTTTGCAGCCGGGGGAGTAGTGACATTGCATCTGTGTTGTGTGCTCCTTGGGCATTTTAGTCTGCATGTATTAATTTGGCAGTGTTTTGCCTGACCACTTGCTGTGTTATTGTCTGGTATTTTTATATTGTTACTTGTTTGTAGCAGAAGCTCTGATCCTCAGTGAAATTGGGAAATCCTGTAGTGGCAGTCCACACTGTTAATGGGTGGTTCTCTGAGCCCGCAGGGAGATGGCTCTGAAGAGAGAGCCATGCACTGACTTGCATCAGGAGTGAGGGGTCAGCCTGTGACTCACTGTGTGCCCAGTAAACACGCCAGTGTGTGACTCAGCCCAGGGCTCTGTCAGGTGACATGAACACACTGAAAAGCATCTCTGGCTTTTCTAGTTTGTGCAAGGAGGGGTTTTATTGTTGTCTACTAAAACATCACCCGGGAGCTCTCAGAAAGGAGGTCATATTTATTAAACACTGCCTGACTTTCCATTGTCTGTAAATCAGAGATGCCAGCAGGGTTACAAGTGGGAGGAGGCCTCTTGGCCTGTCTTGCCTATTTAACTTCTAGTAGTTGTTGTTCTTGAACAGCTCCAGCCTGACAGCTCCAGCCCTGCTCCAGAAACCAGTGGCTTTGATTCTTTTTCCTTAAAGCACTGAGTTGCAGTCTCGGATGGAGACTTCCTCTTTGAGCCCAATAGGAGTGTGTGCTGTTCGTCAGACTGCTAAAGCCGCGTGCAACAGACTTGTCTTATCCAAGAACTAGAAATGAGCAAGTCAAGCACGTGGCGTTTCCTTGGAAGCAGAGTGCAGCAGCCGGCGCTCTGGCGAGTGCGAGTGCCCGGATGAAGGGCTCGGCCTGTTACAGCGCGTGTCGTCATGCTGTTGTTGCGGTTGATGGGACTGCGCCATGGCATGCGCGTGTGCCGTTTCCTGGCGGGGGACCGAGCAGCTGAGCGTCGTGCATCTCTGAGGGGTTCCTGACTGCCTTCAGGGAGCCCGTTCCTCCGCATTTGACAGCGCCTCTTTCACAACCCTGTCTCACGGGCCGCAGCAGGAAACAGCTGTGTGGTCTCAACCTCTTCTGAGCAAACTGCTCTTATGTTGAACCGCAGCGTTTCCATGTTCATCTAGACAATTACAGCAGCAGGACCACCGAGGGGTAACCAGCTGCTGCTTCAGGGTGTTGGGCTGGTACACCTGTGGGGAATCTTAACCTCTCCAGCCTTGCGAGGGCAAACCTCTCCTTTTTCCTATAGCCCAATGTGTATTGTGTGCTTCTTTGTTAAGCTGCCATTGGGATTGCTCAGTGTGGTCCGAGCTGTTGAACTTGTTTTTGTTCTTTTTTTCCAGCCTTTGAGAAGATGACCTGCAGAATGCTTGTCGGCCTAGCGGTTCCACAAGAGCGTGTGACGGTCCAGTAGGACACGGGGTGAGAACTGCAGCTCGGGAGAGCTTTCTACAGTGTGCCTGCGGATCGGGGGTCCCAGAGGTCAGATCGGAGAAGCGGCGGGGGTGTTTGACCAGTGACAGCGCAGCTGCCGGAACAACGATCAAGTGTCTGACGCAAGAGCTGTGCTTGATTTCGTAAATGAGTCCCAGGAGCCAGAGAGTGGGAGCAGAGACCCAGCTAATAAGCAGTGCTGGGTGGCAAATCCTCATTAAACAGCCTTGTTAGCGTTGCCCTTCTTCGACCCCCTGAGAAGCAGGAAAGGTTGGCTTGCACCTTCTGCCCAATTTCTAATATCGCTGAGCAGACAGTTTTTCTTCCAGCTGTTCATCTGTTAAGACATTGCCTCTTGTGCTCTGTCAAGCTACAGGTTTGTTTAATGACCGTACTTTCTTCTTTAGGCCAATCCAAACTCAGTCGTATCATCAGGTGAGAGGAGCAGTCCCATCTTAACACATGGCAATAACTAGAGGAATATGCCAGCACAAACATTCTGCTCCAGCATTTTCCTTTCCATTCTCTGACTGACTGACATTCTATGTTACTTCCTGGACTTGCTGATGCGAGGATGACCTCCTTAAGCTCCTCACGCAGCTGGACGGTCCTTTCCTGAGCTGCAGGGAGACAGCGAGAGACTCTCGAGACACCTGTGGTCAGGCAGGTCATAGGAGAGCAAGAGGACCATGTCTTGGAAGAGGAATTATTTTGCATCCGGCAGCAGTGGGCTGCAGGGCATCTTTACTCCTCGGACCATGACGTCTATCGCTCCCAGCAAAGGGCTCATAAACGAGCCTGGCCAGAACAGCTGCTTCCTCAACAGTGCATTGCAGGTAAGACACGCACACACACTATCGCTCACCGACTCGTGCACACACTCTCTCGCACATGCATGCACACATGCATTCATGAGCAAGCACTAACGCGGTTACAAAACCGTGTGCCCATAGACACAATCCCACAGTTAAACATACACGTCCACTGATGCGTTCTTGCTTTATTTCCAATTTTGTATCAGAAAACCCTGCTTGTTTTAGCATGTTAGAGTTCAGGATGTATTGATGTACAATGAAAATGCAATAGTCTAAAGATGTAACTTCAGCAGATCATTGGACCCACACAGTGATTCACATTTTAAACACTGAACTGACAGGTTTGTCTATTTAAATTATATTGTTCCTTGGGATAAGAGAATTCTGAGAAGTCATCTGATCTTTAAAACCATCGGGAGCTCAGTGTTTGACTTGTGTTAGAATTCCAATCTGAGTTGTCTATGAAGTATAAATAGCCATTCAAATAGGAGTTTAGTACATCCAAGGCCATGTGAAGGTCCAGTCATGACCTGCCGGAGTGATGCAGATCGCCTGGCTGCTATTGAGATGAAGATTAAAATGAAAATATTCAGCTGCAACAACCAGCAGACTAGAGAAACCAGGTACCAGCTCTGTGTGGGACAGGTCAGGTACTGTTAGGTTACCACACTGGCTCAGGACCTTCACAACCATCGAATCCATCTACCTAATCTTAGGGAGATCGCAGTGGGTAGAGGGCAACACATTCCTGGGAAAAACCCAGTATGTGGGGAAACAGACCTGCATATTCACAGGCCTTTCAGGAGAGAGTTGGGAAAGTTGAATTGAGGGGAGTGTGACCCTTGAAAGACCTGATAGTAGACGTGGTGGAAGTGGATGACACAGGGAGGACATCATCATCAACACCTGTTTTTTGACATTTGGAAAGTAATTGCTGCCTTTTTCCTTTAAGCAATGTTTTGAGTATTACAGTTTCCCACATTCACCTTTGTCATCAATAGGCACTGCTAGGAAAGCTAACAGTATTATCACAAATCCTTATGTGGCAGGTAAGTTCTGCTGGTGCCGTGTTCATCTCGTTGAAATCCATCTTTAATAATTTAGTCATCTTTAGCTCTTTAGTCATCACCCATTGATGACTAAGTGTTACTATTAACTGTTCGAACACACTCTCGCCACAATTCAGGGTGGTCAAGAGCTGTGTACATTCTCAGAAAGGTTGTATTCATTGTTAACTTTGTGATTTTTGTGCTTAGTGTTTCTCAGTTTTCACTGCAAATATATGATTCTTCTGTGTTTTCGTTCACTGTTTCTGCAGTTTTGATTCTTCTGAAATATTTGATTTAACCCATTAGATGTTAGTTGTTTTTTTGTGCAACAGTATATAAATGTTTTTAGAAAACACAGCGGTGAGGTCCCCTTGGTGGGGCAGAGTTTACGCTTTCTGGCTGGAGGCTGCCCACACCTCTGGGGTCACGGTTTTCCTTCATTCCAGCTCAAGAGCAGCAATGCACCATGACTGTCAGTCGCCCATCGCTCTCTGCTGCTGCCTGCGGGCCATGAGGGTGCTCAGTGGCACCTTCTACACCTCTTGCATACTCAGCACAGACACATTTGTACTGTAGAATCCCTCAGACCATCCCAAGAGTACTGCTAGGGAAAGGACTTGTTAGAGTTCAGCTTGCTTGGTAGTCCTAGTTGTAGTTGTACTAGAACTTGGTAGAGTTTAGCTTGCTAGCACCCAGGCGGTATACTGAAGATGCTACCCCAGACAATGGACAGGCCCAGAGTGAGGACTTGCTACTGTAGGGATGGACTGCTGACCTTGAATGCACACAGGCACTTGTGTTCACAGGTCCGAGGTCCTCTGCATGATTGCATGTACACAGTCATGTTGAAATCTTCCTCAACTCACAATGGAAAATGTGCTTTGCCACATTTTCAGCATTTTGATCAGAAGTGTGCTATACAGGACTTAAGACCCCATGAGGCTATTGTTTTTTCACACAACAAATACCTATAGCTTATATTTTTCTGTTCTTTTGGGGTTTAATGTTTTAAAATAAGTTTTTGTTTTTTAAAGTGTTGTGATTGGATAGCTTATCTGTCACCCTCCCAAATTAGTTGTATACTGCAATTTAGATTTTCTTAAAAGCAATTCTTTACATAATAATGTTTTAATTTTGTTTAAAATTTAGTATGCCTTCTACATTTTTTATTTTAATTAACAGCAAAGAAAAAGTGCTTAATGTCTGTAGAATGCAATCAAAAAGAACACTGTTAATGAAGATGAATGTAATCAAAGTCTGTTCAAGGGATTTCAAGATCATTGCTTTTTAGATGATAGGTACTGTATTCAGTAAGTCTAGTATCAAATGTTTCAGTTACAAGCGATTGTTAATTCCATACTGCTTTTGCTCTATGACCCTCTTTATTTTGTCATTTTCCACAATAAAGGCTCCATGGACAAAGCCAAACTTCCAAAAGGGTTGTGGTGGTTGAAAACGCACAGTACATGATTCTTTAGTGATCTTGTGTGGTGTTTTTGGGAGTTTCATGTATACAGAATGCATTGACATGTACAAGATGCAGAGCCATCCCCTTTAAAACTGCACTGAAATGGGAGAGGTCTGTGGCGATTGAATTACCCTCTGTGGTGCTTTTCTAGTGTTCATTGAATAAAAATACTTCATTCATCATTTTTTGTGAATTTGAGGATTTTGGTTTAAACTGAAAGTCAAAAGCACAAAGTATATTTAGGTGACCAGGCATAAACTTTTTCATTTATACAGTGGTTTTCATCCTGAACGATACAAAGCGATTCACCTCTAGCAGGGGACCCGCTTGCATAACAGAAGTGCCACCCCCACCTTGGGGGTCACACAGCACCCCTATTGCACAGCAGATCAGGGGGAGGAGGGAGGAAATCCAAAGACAGGAATTGCTTCACACTTTAGGGAGGGCAGATTGTTCAAGAACAGGGTGGAATGTATGCAGGACACCGGGGTAACATCTCTACTTTTACACTGTAGTGCCAAGAGATCTTTGCTGAAAAAAGAAGAGACCTCAGTTTAATGGTACCGCTCACCTTGTAAATTATTTTTTCCATTAATTTCTGTGTTGCCATAATAAAAGTAATACAGACCTATGATTTCCAGCAGCGGTTTGCACATGGCCACTGCTGATCGCGGCACATAGCTGCATTTGTTTTCTTTCCAAGTCTCGCCGGCGGCAGGCTGGGTCCTCATGCTGTGGGAAGGGGTGGCACCGTTGTCCTGAGCGGTGGCAGTGCAAGCCCTTTGGATGCTCAGTGGCAGTGCCACCTGGCCTGCGGATATCCAGGACAGCCTGCGCGGTGGCTCTGGGGACCTCTCCTCCGCTGGTGTGATTCACTCTTGCTGATGCCAGCCTTCGTGACAAGCTGCCTGCAGAATCTTCTCCTCTGATGTCCCCTTCACCACTCCCCCGTTAAACAGGATGTGACAGGGCGACTGTCTGTGAGAGGGAAAAGGATTCGTCTGATACATCACCTTTACCGCTGAGAATTTGTGCTGCGCCACTGCCCACTGATACTTAAAAATAAATGACTTGTGGCTTGTTCTTGTTTATAAGAGACATTTAAAGCTCCCCATTGTCCCTCTAGCCATTGTGGAAAAATCCATCTTAAACTCCTGTTCGTTTTGTTCAGTACAGGGAGCCTTCCGACTGCCAAAGGCGAATGTAGTTTTCCCGATGACTGCTTCCGAGCGTGGTTCCCACTTTCGCAGAAAAAACGATCCCGTATCTAGCACCTTGTCTTGAATTTGTTTTCCTTGCTACTTTTGTTGAGATCCAGGTCCACGCACACCTAATGAAATCTCCCCCAAACATCCTTCAATCCAGCCATTGTTCATTGATTTAGCTGAACAAGTCAATCATTAATCATCACAGAGAAGTCATTTTCTTTTCATCAGCTGCAGTAGAGCTGTGCTTTTCAGTTCCTAGTCCTACCATTGGCAACCTGAACAATCCCATGACTGTTGCGGTACCTGTTCCAGAACAGTGCTTTGCTTTGTTGCTTGGTTATGTAATCACTGTTTTCAAAAAAACCTGAGAGAAGTTAAATTTGGGGTGTTGATACTGGTGTAATCCTTGAAGTCCATAATTCATATAATTACTGTAGCTACCTGAGGCTGTGCTGCATCATTAGGCATCTTAAAATGAATCTCGCAGTTTTTCCCCTCTGTAATGTGGAGTCCTGGCTAGCCTTGAGTGGAAATCTTTTTTTTTTGTCATTGTATTCCACTTTGTAGTTTTATTATATTATTGCTATGTACTGTATCCTCAAGGTGTTGTCGGAATGAGGAATAGCAAATAGAAACTTTGGCTCTGTAATTCTAGAGAAACAATTAACTCCAGGCTCTGTAACTGCTTGAGAGCATCCCACCCACGCAGTCAACCTGCAGAAGGTGTTAAAAAAATAAGCCTGGAAAAATATGATGACCTCATCCGGGTGGATTGTGTTTTGGTAAACATTACATATTGGCTTTAAAAGAGCTCCAGACCAGTGTAAATTTGCTTTGAGCATACAGTTCAGCTACAGCCAGTGTACTCATTTTAGTCTGAGATGCTATGTTAGAAAAATCGCCATTTTTAGCTGCTGGTGGTAAAGATCCTGTTATGATGTAGAAAGTGCTGACCAGCTGTCCATGTGATCTGAGATGGCCCGTTTCAAGGGAGAATTTTTATGTTCTGCATTTTCTGATCATTAAATGTAGGGTGAAACAGTTAGCTAGTGGCTTGATGGTGCCTCCGAATCCAGCAGTCACTGCCGGTTGCATACAATAGGTTTGGTAACTTGAGGTCTCATTTTCTGACAATGCAGCAGAATTGGAAACTCAAAGATTGAACAAAATCAATTCTTTGTTTTATCTGACTAGAAAATGTGAGAAGCGATACAGAAATAAGTGGCTGTGTCCCTGTTCTCTACTGGGTTCTCAAGAAGATTAAGGTACCTTCACTCAGGTCTTCTGTGCTGAGAT